GGTGTACGTGGCTGGCGCCTTAGCCGGTTGAGCTATAGGCGCCGAGCCTGGTTAGTCAAGTATTATATAATTAGTAATTCTAAACCAAATCATTAAAGTTTATAGAGAAAGGAAACTACTTACAAGCTGCTCTGATTTTACACCATATAACTGGATGGTCTTTGCCACGTTTTTTGACACAGCTAATGTGAGGTTTGCGTCAACAGCCGCTACATTTAGTTCACTGGAGAAAACAAAACAGATTGTAATTATTACCAACATATTTCATCAACAAAGTAAAGAGCCACATATAAACCTAAATCCAATAAGCAATGTAGTGATTCTTTTTATAGATTTCTCTGATTGCTTCCAAGAATTGGTTGCATTGTTTCTTTCCCCTTTAAATTCAGCACTAGGAAAAAGTGCTTTGAGATGGTTTTGTTAATGACCAGTTTCTCATTAATAAAAGCATGGCATGTGTGGGTTCAGTCTGTGATTAACACAGTAAATTGTGTACAGATTTTTAAAGTAGGACTCGTGCTAATACTGATAAGTACAATTAGAGGCTTTGCATTTCATAGACATCTGCAAGGAAATGACAGCTCTTGAATGGAAATGATGACCTTGAAGGAACATAGGCTAAAAATATAAATTACATATGATACATAAAGATATTCAGTTTCTTTAGAAATTACGCTAATTCATGCCTTTTTATATAGGGTAGCTTTTAATAATAAATACATCAAAAGCCTAACAGGACTATAATTAGAAAATTTTTTAATTTGGATTCTTAAAGTTTTTTTGTCATGCTATTTTCAACTTTGTATTGGATAATTGGGGCATATGATATGACTGCCAACAACAACAAAAAATCCCCAGTATTTTGGGCAGTGCCTGTGGCTCAGTGGGTAGGGTACCACCCCATATACTGAGGGTAGTGGGTTCAAACCTGGCCCCGGCCAAATTGCAACAAAAAAAATAGCTGGGCACTGTGGTGGGCACCTATAGTCCCAGCTACTCGGGAGGCTGAGGCAAGAGAATTGCCTGGGCTTAGGAGTTGAAAGTTTCTGTGAGCTATGATGCCATGGCACTCTATTGAAGGCAATAAAGTGAGACTCTGTCCCTACCAAAAAAAAAAACAAAAAACCAAACAAACAGTATTTTACAAAGACCACAGAAAGAATACTAGAGGTTAAAAATTGTATGAAAATCTATATACAGGGCTGGGCATGGCAGCTCATGCCCGTAGTCCTAGCACTGCAGGAGGTGCGGGCGAGAGGATTCCTTGAGCTCAAGAATTTGAGACTGGCCTGAGCAGGAATGAGATCTCTTCTCTAATAAAAATAGATAAATTAGTTGGGTATTGTGGCAGGTGCCTGTAGTCCCAGCTACTTGGGAGGCGGAGGCAAAAGCATCTTTTAAGCCCAAGAATATGAGGTTGCTGCGAGGTATGCTGACCCCATAGCATTCAACTCAGGGTGATAGAATTGAAACTCTGTCTCTCACACACACACACACACGAAAAAAAAAGAAAGAAAAGAAAAGAAAAAGAAAATCCATGAACAGGTAGAAAGCAAGAAAAATAATTATTATCTTTGAACTAACAGAATTAATCTTAGCACTTACCAGATTCTCTTTTCAAAGATATTAAAGGTATTTGAAGCAACACGAGGGCATTCTATGTATAACAAAAATAGCCTTTTGTATAGTATTGAGATATAATTTTATTAATGTTCACTTTTAAATTCTATTAAACCCTGGCATAAGTATGTTTATTCAAGCTCCAGACCCTATTTGATTATAATATTGTCAAGTTGCATAGAGGAAAGGAGTTGCCACTTTAATGTTTACATAAAAGGTCAAAGAGATCTAGTTGAATCTAGGATGGTTTTTATCACTACCACACTAAACAGATGACACAGACATTAGGGTAAAACATCTAGAGTCCAGACACTGGAACACCAAGGTACCAGCAAAGAGATTTAGGGCCAAGATGCTGCCCAATCAAGACACTGAAAATACGTTTATGCATATTATACTTGTGGCTTTGTTAGTCTTATTCTACCATGGCTCAGATTCACCATCTTCAAATCTGTAATCTCAGAGAAGTTAGAGCTTGGGCTAATACACATGTATTGCCCTGCTATTTTTACTCCCGCCTCAAATGTACAGACCCACTATTATGACAACTTGTTAGCTATGACAGGAACTAAGATAATTTCAACTGCAAATTAATCTGGATAATTTCTAAGTGTAAATGTCTAAAGGCAACAGTATAATTACACTGTCTGCAAGCATTCAGGTGGCACCTCTGCTAGGATACCTTCCCTTTTTAGAGCCTTAAAGGCTGTCACATTCACTTAGAGAGCTTAAAATAGCAAACACAAGAGGGCTAATCAAGATTATAATCCTATTTCTGCCAAGAAACACTTTCTGGGTTTAAGATAAAAGCCATTTACCTCTGTGGTTTAGTTTCTCAAATTATAAAATTAGTTTTTATATTTACTTTCCTGTATAATATTAAGAATGTACTATGGTATAAAAAGCTGGGTTTACTTTGTATCCCTGGGAAGACATAATCATAATAAACTATTTTTAGACTATACTTAAATGACTTATTAATTGGAATCTCAAGTATATAGTCATTCAGTGCCAAACAATTTAACTACTGGCCTAATTACTTGAATAATTTGAGTTAAATTAAAATTATACTGCTACTATAATAACGAATGTAGCAATCATCTTATGGCATGATATTATATAAAAAATACATACCTTGCTATAGTTTTAATGATACCATCGAGTTCATCAGAGGAAGGAGGATTACGACCACCAGTGGGAAAAACCAAGTTGATAGGATCAAAGAGTCGTGACAAGGATTTTGATAGGTAAGCAGCTTCATAGGGTTGTAGCGAGTCTTTCAAAGCTTTTTCTGGACTATGGAAACAAAAGATTTTGAAAACTAACTTAAATTATATAAAACCACATGCTTTTGTATCAGTCTGTAGATACCTTTATAAAAAACACATCTCCCATAAAAAATATAATTACACATTAATAAAAAGGAAAAAAATTCAAAATATATAAATATATTTACAAATACATTTCATAATTAAACAAGAAGGATTACACAAATATTTCAATTTACACTTAAGTCCTAGCTACATATATAGTATAACATGCACCAATACCTACTGCATTATCTGTCTCCTAAAACTAAAAGAGTAACTTGGGTAAAATCTTATTAATGCTAATGGAGGCTATGCCCTTATTTGGGAAATCCCTTCTGTAAGGGTATCAAAGCATGCACAAGAGAGACCAGCCTGCAGAAACCTGTTCCATTAGCTTGGCTCTTTCCACCGACAGCTGCCACCTCCTATAAAGTTCACTGTATGAGAGGAAAGTGTACAGATTTAAACTTTTACCAGTTTTCCCTTGTCTGACCAACAATGATGATGACAAAAAGTATTTTTTGTGAAAAGTCTCACAATCACACAGATGATCTTGATTAGAGTTCCAAGCTAATTTGTTTTATAATTTTCTTTACAAAATAAAACTTAACCTGCTCAATACTTCTTTTCTTCTTAACCTTTGGTTTTCATTTAGCAATTAAACTATTGGATCTTGCATTTTTCCTTTGACAATTACTATCAAATGGCTCTGACCACTATTTCCATCTACTTTCTTACTCCTGTAAATAATTCAATGTCTTTTCACACCCCTCCATTTACAATCCCCTGGCAGCCCTTCCACTGCCTTTTTTTTCCTTAAAGAACAAATTCCCCTTTGTCTTAAAGTTAACCTTAAAAATATCTGACTTACTCTTTCATGTATATGAAACCTGCTTTTCTCTTTTTCTCACCCTTCTAATCAACTGACAAGACCTAGAGGTCAGAATGCTCTTGGCACATACATCGCAATTCCATAGTTATCTCCTAATGCTTTCTCATTCAGTAAGAATTTCACTCAACACATTTTTACTAAGAATACTATGCACCAGACGCTTTGTTAAGTGCTAGGAAGATACCAATTAAGAGTGCTTTACAGTCTAGTGAAGAAATAAGCAGGTAATGTGTTAATTATAACAAATTCTATAAAAGAAGAAGATAAAAAGACCACAGTGGGGGCATGGAAGAACTTAGTATCAAATCTGTCAGAGGCAATCCTCTAGAAGTCTGGGCCATCTATTTAAATGTCTTCTCTATTTTTGCTCATCTATTGACCTTAAGAAGCCTCTTCCCTCTTCTGCAGAAATTTTGGCTCTGAATTATAAGTACTAACACTCTTCTTATTCTCCAAATCTCCTTGGTGACTACAGTGTCCAAACAGGTAACTCTTCCGAATCCCATCCTATACTACACGTCTGCATTTACAATGTCCTTTTCTTTTACCTTTACTATGGAGCTTCCAAATGGGCATCATTGTTTTGAACTGTTCCACCTCTTAAGATCTCCAAGTTTAAAGATAGTTTCCCATATGTCCCACTTTTTCCTCTTTTCTTCCCTTAAATATTAAGTCTCTACAATTTTTCAAGTCGTTTCTAGTGAAAAAATATGGTGCTCAACTCATTAAAAAAGTTCCCTGTTTTCTTCAAGCACCCATGCTAACAAGCAAGATACATAAAACATAAATAAGAATGTGAAAATAAGTTAAATATGGAATATGATAATAAGTGCTAAGAGAAAAATAAAGCAAGGAAGACAGAGAATATGTTTAAGCCTAAACTTTTTTTGAAAACCAATTTTAGATAGGATGAGGCAAAAGAAGTTTCACTGACGAGACCTAAAGGAAAAAAGGGAGCAAGTTATGTGGATTTTCAGAGGAAGAGCCTCCTATGAGGACAGAATAGCAAGTGCAAAGGTCCTGAACAGGGGTCGGACCTGGCTGTTTGCCAAGAAAGAAAAAGCACAGCAGGCAAGTCACAGAGAGTAGGACAAGAGGACATCAGAGAAAACAGATGGACCAAATCACGCTGGGCTTTGTATACCCATAAAGATGATAGATTTTACTAAAAGAACTTGTTCTTTGACTTGATTGTGATCTCTGCTAACTGGCATCCTCCATCAGCCCACCAGGTCCTATGTTCTCCTTTATCCCTGGCCGTCCGTTTCAAGATATTCTCATGAGCATGCTGATTCTTCTGATTCACCTTCCTTTCAAAGCTCTTACTAAGATCTTAGTTGCTCTATCTACTGTTAAGCTGCTCGGGTATTGCAGAGAAAAAGTAAATTATCTCAATTAAACATTTATACAAAGCCCTTAACATAGAGACCCTGAAACTCAGGTAACAACTTGAAATCCTACTTTTGTGGCCCTTCATTCTCTATGGGTGACCTTTGCTGGTGCTTTAGACCAAAACCACTGGCCATGAACTTCTTCAGCTTGGCACTTCTCTTGTTTAATTTCCCCCCTTAGAACTTCACCTGTGATAGTTTCTGTAATTTTCCTATTATTTCAATGAAAGAAGTTCCTCCTTTTTAAAAAATAAAAATTTCTCTAAATAATTTAATCTACCTCCTCTTTTCCCATTTTCTCTCTCTCTCTCTCTTTTTTGTTTGAGACAGAGTTTCACCCTGTTGTCCTGGGTAGAGTGCTGTGTTATCGTAGCTCATAGCAACCTCAAACTCTTGGGCTTAAGTGATCCTCTTGCCTTATCCTCCCAAATAGCTTGGACAATAGGTGCCTGCCACAATGTCCAGCTAGTTTTTTTTTTTCTTTTTCTATTTTTAGTAGAGACACGGTCTCACTCTTGCTCAGGCTACTTTCAAACTCCTGAACTCAGGCCATCTACCCGCCTCAGCCTCCCAGAGTGCTAGGATTACAGGCATGAGCCACTTTGCCTGGCTCTCCGGCTCTCTTAAAATAATAAAGTTGTAATTCTGAGTAAAAGGTTTTATTTGGGAATAATATACGAAGAGTAGGATCGTAATTTTGGAAATACATATGGACCAGGGTAGCCTCTAATATGTCTGGAGAAGAAAGGAAAAATTAGGGTTTATTGGAGAAAGAAGATGTTATACAAATTGTTTTGAAAGAAAGCTTACCGTTACTGGCAGCATTTTATAAGAGCTGGTGAATTCTGACTGGTATGTGTCTAGGTAGGACTTTTTAATCTTGGAGTTATGATTAGGCCCTTGCAGTTTTGGGTTGTGCTTGTAAGACCATATGCAACAAAAGCAAGTGTTCTTGTGTAAGCTGTTAGCTATCCTTGTGTGACATGTGTAGTAGGCTGTAGTTTGAAAAAATTTCTCATGATAGTTCCTATTATCAGCCAACTGGCATATGAGAATCTTGGCCTTCCCTGGAATCTGCCAACTTTCACTGATGTAATTTACATATCACACAATTGAATCACTTAAAATGTACTATTCTCTGTCAGATTTGAAGATATGTGCAATCATCACCACAATCAATTTTAGAACATTTGTATCACCTCAAAAAGAAATCTTGTATCCTTTAGCTATAACCCCCTCCTACCCTAAGCAACCACTTATCTACTTTATATGTATTTTTGTAGATTTTCATATGAATGGGATCACATAGTACATAGGGTTTTGTGTGACTGGCTTCTTTCATTTAAGCAAAATGTTTTCAAGGTTCATCCATGTTATAGTATGTATTAGTACTTCATTCCTTTTTATGGCTAAACAATATCCCATTGCCTGAATACTGTTTACTCATTTGTGGACATTTGGGTTATTTCTGTCTTTTGGCTATTCATAAATAATGGTATTATGAACATCTGCATACAAATTTCATTGTAAACATGTTTTTATTTCTCTTGGTTATATCCCTAGGAATGAAATCGCTGGGTCATACAGTAACTCTATGTTTAATTGTTTGAAGAACTCCTAAATTATTTTCCAAAGCCTTGTACCACTTTAGATTTCCACCAGCAATGTATGAAATTACTAATTTATTTCTCTATATCCTTGGCCAAAGTTTGTTCTAATCTGCCATTTTATTACAGATGTCTTGGTGGGTGTAAAGTGGTAGTTCGCTGTGGTTCTCATTTGCATTTCTCCAATGTCGACCATCTTTTCATGTGCTTATTGACCATGTGATGAAATTCTTGGGAGATGTATCTATTTTAGATTATTTGTCTATTTTTTAATTGGGTTATTTGTCTTTTTAGTTTTAAATTGAAAGAGCTCTTTATATATTTTAGATACAATTCCATTGCCAGATATTTGAGTCACAAATATTTTCACCCATTCTTGATGGTATTCTTTGAATCACCAAAGTTTTTAATTTTGAGAAAGTCTAATATATCATTTTATCTTTTGTTGCTTGTGCTGCGGTGTCATATGTATCAATCCTTAACCAAATCCTGAGACATAAAGATTTGTTTCTGTATTTTCACAGTTTAAATGTTTAGTATTTAGATCTCTGATCCATTTTGAGTTAATTTTTGCATATAATGTGAGATAAGGGCATAACTTCATTCTTTTGCAAGAAGCTTTCAGTTATTTCAGCACCATTTGTCAAAAAGATTATTATTATTCTTTTCCCATTGAAAGAATGCTCTCTACAGTCTTTGGAAATAAACTTATTATAGATCTATTAGTTTATTTCTATACTCTTAAGTCTACATCTATCCCTGGGCCAGGACTATACCATCTTGATTACCATTGCTTTGTAGTAAGCTTTGAAACTGGGAGTGTGAGTTTTCCTACCTTATTTCTCTTTTTTCAGAATTGTCTTGACTATTCCGGGTCTCTTGAAATTTCATATATATCTATTTTTAAGACAGGGTCTCATTGTGTCTTCCAGGCTAGAGTGCGGCAGCATCATCAGGGCTCAACACATGGCTAATTTTTAAAATTTTCTGTGTAGATGGGGTCTCACTAAATTGCCTCCTGGCCTCAAGTGGTCCTCTTGTCTTGGCCTCCCAAAGTATTAGGATTATAGGCATGAGTCACCTTGCCCACTTTCCATATGAATTTAGAATCTCTTTTAATTTTCTACACAGAAGTCAGCTGAGATTCTGATAGTAATTGTATTGAATCTATAGTAATTCATGGCTATGGAATGTTTTTCCATTTATTTAGACCTTTAATTTCTTTCAAGAACATTATACAGTTTTCAGGGTATAGTTTTATACTTTATTTCATTAAATTTACTTCTAAATATTTTATCTTTGTGGTATTGTTAGGCATATTATATCTATTAATATTATAAGCCCACAATAAATCATTACAATTAATATTTTACCATCTGTCCACATTTCCTTAGCACACAACAGCTTTGTTCCCACCCACATCATTTGTGCCATTATTTGCAAATGTATTAGGCATGAATTACATTTCTAAATGTTATAGCCTCAACAATGCATTCTATACATACTATTTTACACACAATTGCTTTTTAAGTCAGCTAAGAGAAGAAGAAAATCCATGTTTATAGTGTCTTTTATAACTTCCTAATTAGCCTTACTGGTGCTTTTTGTTTGTGTGGATTCAAATTACCATCTGGGGTCACCAGCTTTCAGGCTGAATTATTTTTTAGTATTTCTGGCAAGTTGGGTCTGCGAACAACATATTCTCTCACCTTTTGTTTATTTAGGAAAATCTTTATCTTGCCTTTGTCTTTGAAGGACAGATCCACTGAAGATTGTCCTTTAACCAATCTGAGAGCACTATCTTTTGGCATTTTTTGTTTCTGCTGAGAAGTCAGCTATAAATATGATTGGAACTACCCTCTAAGTGATGTGTAGTTTTCCTCTTGTTGCTATCAAAGTTTTATTCTTGTCTTTGATTTTTGGCGTTTATATTATGACGTGTTACTTGTGAGTTTATTGAGCTTTCTAGATGTATACATTATTATTTTTCTTTCTTTCTTTTTTTTTTTAGAGACAGAGTCTCACTTTATCACCCTCAGTAGAGTGCTGTGAAGTCACAGCTCACAGCAACCTCCAACTCCTTGGCTTAGACAATTCTCTTGCCTCAGCTCCCCAGTAGCTGGGACTACAGGAGCCCACCATAATACCTGGCTATTTTTTGTTGCAGTTTTGCCGAGGCCAAGTTCGAACTCGCCACCCATGGTATATGGGGCCGGTGCCCTATCCACTGAGCCACAGGCACTGCCCTATATCATTGTTTTTCAATAAATCAAAAAGTCTTCAGTTATTTCTTTTCCTTTTTTTTTTTTTTTTTTTTTAGATAGGGTCTTGTTCTGTCCCCTGAGCCAAAAAAAGTACAGAGGTATCATCATAGTTCAATGCAACCTTAAACTCCTGGACTTAAGCAATCCTCCTATCTTAGCCTCCGTAGTAACTGGGACTACTGGTGTGTTCCACCACACCTAGCTAATTTTTTTAAAAAATGTTTTTTTAGAGACAGAGTCTTACTATGTTGCCCAGGCTGGTCTCAAACTCCTAGGCTCAAGTGATCCTCTCACCTTGGCCTCCCAAAGTGCTGAGATTGTAGGTATGAGCCACCATACCCAGCCTTACTTTTTTTTTTTTAAACACAAGTAACATACACTAATTTCAAATAAAAGTAAAAAATACAAAATAATTCTATCTCCTGGAGATAAACCACTGTTACCATTTCTTCTATATAGTTCTAGACCTTTTTCAGTGTATGTATATGGATTTAAAAATAAAACTAAGCCAGGGGGGTGTCTGTGGCTCAAAGGAGTAGGGCGCCAGCCCCATATGCCAGAGGTGGCGGGTTCAAACCCAGCCCTAGCCAAAAACTGCAATAAATAAATAAATAAATAAATAAATTAAATAAAACTAAGCTACAAATAGAATAATACTATGCATGCTATATTATATATACTTGAAAATATGCAATATATCATTAAATCTTTGTAGATCAACAGATATAGCTTTTGTCTTCTTGTCCCCTATTCTACTAGGCTTAACCAAATCTCCTTGTTTATTATAAGAGTTTACTGAAGAGACAATATAGCTTCATTCTATCTTTCCACACCTCTTCTGGCCACTTATTTTGCCAATCACAACTTCTTCTTTTTATGTATTTATTTTTTATAGAGACAAGGTCTTGCTATGTTGCCCAGTGCTCCAGAGATCCTCCTGAATAGTTGGGATTACAAGAACCCAATATTGCCCCTGGCTCTAGACCAAACTTTTATATGTTATATTCTGCCAATCAGAACTTTTAACTACAATAGATTCAACTATATGTTCTCTAAAAATGGAATTAAAAGAGAAACAATTATTTTAACAGCACTCATGAATCTATCCAACATTTTTCTTATAAGGTAGGTGATAAGAATCTGCTACTGCTTTCATTAGCCTCGCCATAATAAACATGATTCTAGGTGCTCTCACCTAACAAGAACAGTGTAGGGATACACGGCACACCTTCAACAGGGACTTACCTAACAAATGTAAACAATGTAGCCTAATCATTTGTAACCTCATAATTATTCTGAAATATAAATAAATAAATAAGGTGGTAGTGTTTAAGGAAAGGTGTGAGAGGCAATCACTTCATCTCATGCTCAAATAGAAATTTTATGTTTCAGTTTGGAGGAAAAGCTGGCTGGGTTGAACTTACTAAGATAGTATACTTGTTTCTAATGTGGCCCTTGGGCCAGATGCAGTGGTTCACACCTGTAATGCTAGCACTCTGGGAGGTCCAGGTGGGTGGACTGCCTGAGCTCACGAGTTCCAGACCAGCCTGAGCAACAGTGAGACCTCATCTCTAAAACATAGCTGGGCATTGTTACAGGCGCCTGTAGTCCCAGCTGCTTGGGAGGGTGAGGCAAGAGTATCACTTAAGCCCAAGAGTTTGAGGTTGCTGTGAGCTGTGACACCATGGCACTCTACCAAGGGTGACAAAGTGAGACACTGTCTCAAAAATAATAATAATAATAATGTGGCTCTTAAATAAGGCTGCATTATTGTACTTTTATGGGTGATAGAAAAGATTTTGGGGGTAGTTTTGACTATACAGTCAGTTCTCCACATCTGTGGTTTCCGTGTCCACAGATTTGACTAAATAGATTGAAAGCCTAGTTAGGCCTACAACAGATGTGTCTGTAGTGAACACATACAGCCTTTTTCTTATCATTATACCTTAAACAATACAGTATAATAAATATTTACATCTATAATAAATATTATAGCTAATCTAGAGATGATAAAATTATAGAAGAGGATGTGCATATGTTATATCAAACACTAAGCCATTTTATATAAGAACCTTGAGATTCCACACGGATCCTGGAACTAATCCCTATGGATCCTAAGGGATGACTGTACTCAGCTTTTCCCTAACACACGAAGAACCTGCCTTTAGCGTAAGACTTATTTTCCCTAGAGTTTCTGAACACACCAGTTCTTTTTAGGTCACATTTATGCTAGTGGCAAATCAATAATGATGGTATCTGATATAATCACAGGTATACTACTGGTTAAAATACAATGACCACATATTCTCATCTCTTAGCCTTTGACTACTTTAGTCAGTGATATAACTTTAAAATTGACTCTAGCAGGAACCAGAATGCTCAACCAAGTGTAAAGTTAAACTTCTTCAGTTAGAAGTCTTGCAAAGTCTTTTAAGGTATAAAAATAATAATCATTACAAATATTTAGAAACTTGGCACATTCCCAATTTCTAATTAAAAGACAAAACTCCATAATATGCCAACAAACAGGTAAAATTAAATAAACATACTCATAATCTGGCTTTTTGGGTAGGAATATGTCTTGTGTATCATCTTCTATGTGTTGTAGGTCAACAAAGAAGTCTGTAGTTCCACTTGCATTAAAATTCCCTTGTATATTTTGACTGTATTGTTGAAGACGTTTCCATAAGTCATTATAAAGACGTGATAATTTAGGGTATTCACCTTCAAATGCCTGTTTCAAAAACATAGACGCTGTCAAACAAAACAAGAACATAGATTAATAAATAATAAAACAGACTACAGTAAAGAAATGTTTCTTTTGCATATAAAGATATTATGAATAGTTCATACTACAGGACAAACCAAGACATGTTCCAGTAAGGCCTTTTAAAACGATGCTAGTAACAGTAATTTTTCACTCAACTATTCATTGCATTTGATATATAGATTATATATTCTGAAACTTAGTCTACATTAAAAGTTAGAAAACCCTACAATTATAATTGCAGATATCAATTCTCCTCCTTGATCACTGATAAAAACAAGTATATGGAGAATCAGGATATAAAAAATAGCACTACCACCCAATTGACTGAAATTACATTTGTGTAATACTTAATCCAAAGCAGCAAATACATTCTTTTTAAGGGCACATGAAATATTTTCCAAGATCAACAATATTTGGTTCCATAAAACATGTCTGAATAAATTCAAAAACTTCAAATCATACAAAGCATGTTTTCTAATCAAAATAGTTTTAGGTTACAAATCATTAACAAAAAGCTATCTGGAAAACTCAAAATTCCAAGTCAAATACTTGGAACTAAAAAAAATGTTTCTAAATAACCCATGGGTCAAAAAAGAAACCAAGGGAAATTAGAAAGTACTGTGAACTGAATGAAAATTGTAACAAAACATAACAAAATCTGTGGGATGTCACAGAAGGAGTACTTGAAGAAATTTATATTATGTTTGAAAAGAAGAAAGCTCTTAAGTCAATGACCTAAATTCCATTTTAAGAACACAGAAAAAAGAGGTAAATAAAATCCAAAGTAAACAGGAAAAAGAAAATAACAAAGATCTGTATAGGTATCAGTGAAACAGAAAAACAGTAGAGAAACAATGAAATAAAAACCTGTTTCTTTGAGAAGATGAATAAAATTGACAAACTTCTAGCCAAATAAATTAGGGGGGAAAAGGAGAAACAAATTAGCCATATTAGGAATAAGGGAGGCAATTTCATTAAATATTTCACAATACTCTGCAAATACTAAAAGGATAATAAAGCAATTATGAACATTATGCCAAGACACTTGAAATTTTTCATAAAATGGACAAATTCTTTGAAAGACACCAACTACTCAAAAAGAAATGGATATACTAATAGATATAGCCCTATGTTTTAATTAAAAACTTTCTAAAAAGAAAAACACTGCTGGTCCAGATGACTTCAGCAGTGAACAATTTAAAAAAGAAAAAACAAACTTTATATCAATCTTCAACTCATTGCCCTGATACCAAAACCAAGGACATAAAAGGAAAACAAACAGAAACTACAGAATAGGATCCCTCATGAATACAGATGTAAAAACTATAAAGAAAATCTCAGCAAATCTAGTCCAATAAAATAAAAGGAAGAATGCATCATGATGAAGGGGATTTATCCCAGGAATTCATAGTTGGTTTAACATTTTAAAATCAATCAATGTACTCATCATATTAACAAGCTAAAAAGAAAGGGCATGTCATCTTTTCAATAGATTAAGAGAAAGCATTTGAAAAAAAATCTAACATTTATTCCTAATAAAAACTTCAGTCAATGTGGAACAGAAAGGAATATCCTCAACCTCACAAAAGGCACCTATGAAAAACTATACCTAATATGATTCTTTTTTTTTTTTTTTTGAGACAGAGCCTCAAGCTATCCCCCCGGGTAGAGTGCCGTGGCATTACAGCTCACAGCAACCTCCAACTCCTGGGCTCAAGCGAGTCTCCTGCCTCTGCCTCCCAAGTAGCTGGGACCACAGGCGCCTGCCACAACGCCCGGCTATTTTTTTTTTGGTTGCAGCCGTCATTGTTGTTTGGTGGGTCCGGGCTGGGGATTCGAACCCGCCACCTTAGGTGTACGTGGCTGGCGCCTTAGCCGGTTGAGCTATAGGCGCTGAGCCCCTAATATGATTCTTAACACAAGAAGAGTTAATAGTTTTGCTTAAAAGTAAGCAACAAAACAATGATGCCTGCAGTCATCACTTCTATTTAACATTGCCTTGGAGGCTGTAGTCAATGGCACAAGATATACATACACATACATACACATGTAACATTCACATTAAAAGGTTGGTCTCAAACTTCTGAGCTCAAGAAACCCACCTGCCTTGGCCTCCCAAAGTGCTAGGATTACAGGTGTGCCTGGCCCCAACTATAGTTAAAGCTTACAAATAAATACTGAATATTTAAATCTTGAAGCTAAGTTCTACCTTAATTTCTTTTAAAGTATTTTCATTGCTTACACAATTTGATAATAAATTATTTATTTTATAAATATTTATATGACATCCATTGTATATCTTAATCTAACAAATCATTTATAGGCAGAAAATTATAGGTTGTTAATTTCCAGTTACTTGAGAATTTATTATTTAGATTATCCTCTTGTGCAAACTATTGTTCTTTTTAAATTAATCACTAGTGATTACAATGCAAGCATGTACCTGGAGATAAAATTCATATTAAAACAATCACTATTAAAATAATACCTTATAAATTAGAAGATAATCCTATGTAAATTTTCCTGCCAGGTAATAGGTGTGGGAGACAACCCTCTGACTAAGAAAGTCTGCCTTTGATTTTATTTCACTAACCCTGTCTTCTTGAATTCACTGCAGTAAGAATGAACCCCTGTAGCTTCAAAACTTTGTAGGCTAAGACCCATGCCAGACCTTGACCTAATTCACGTAGAGATGAAAGGCTATAAATAGTCCAGTGTGCTCATTTTCTCTCTTCTCACCTTCTCTGTTGTAGTACCTTTTACTTTCTTCCTAGAACTGAATGAACACTGAAGGTTGTTACTAGTTTGTGTTGATGGCCTATCCTTCTTACCTTTAATATGGGAGATACAAAGTAGTATTTGATTTACTTATCTTTGTATCTATTTACATTAACAGTAGGCACTGACTTATTGAATAAACAAATAAAGTAAAAGTAGAATAAAGAAGGATTTGTAATTATGTCATTTTCCCAGATTCTAATAGCCTTGTCTTAATTGCCTCATTACCTCTAGATTCCTGGTTTAAGGGTTCAGAGGACAGCAGCATGTCAGCTTCATTCCAGAGCTACAGCACTCATAGCTCTTGCCTTAGTTGTGCCTAAACCTCAGCCTGCATGATGCTTCTGCTCCTGCATCTCCCCAGTGGAAGGACTAAATGCTTCACCTCTAGGCCACTGACCTAGATCTGGCCAAGAACTGGCAGCTTTCCCACCAACCTTCAGGTGCTCAAATACCAGGCAGTGCCAAATCTACCTGAAAGGATTTGCTGACCATCTATTACATGCCAAGTACTATTGTAAATGCTAGAAATGCAGCAGTGAACAAAATAGGCACATTCTTATCCATATGGAACTTACACTCCAGTGAAGAAGGACAATAAGTAAATCACTATGTAACATAACATGAGGAAATACTAAGTGCTTTGAAGAAAAGTAAAGCAAGGTTAGAGAATAGATAGGGATCAAAAGGGCCTCTGAATGAAGCAAGAACATGAGCCATCTGGATTTTTCTTTTCTTTTTTTTTTTTTTTTTGAGACAGAGCCTCAAGCTATCCCTCTGGGTAGAGTGCCGTAGCATCACAGCTCACAGCAAACTCCTGGGCTCAAGAGAGTCTCCTGCCTCAGCCTCCCAAGTAGGGAGGTGCCCACAGGTGCCTGCCACAACGCCCAGCTATTTTTTGGTTGCAGCCTTCATTGTTGTTTTGGCAGGCCCAGGCTGGATTTGAACCTGCCACCTTAGGTGTATGTGGCTGGCGCCTTAGCCAGCCATAGGTGCTGAGCTGAGCCATCTGGATTTTGAAGAAAGAATGATTCAGCTGGAAAAACAGCAAACACAAAGGAATTGGAGTAAATTATCCTAGTAGATGGTACTGGTCATAACTTGCATGTACTTTGGAGGACTTAGCCTGAGAGAGTCAACTTTCATAGCCAGGTTAGGTCCCCGCTTTGTTAGTAGATTGCTACCTACTTGTCGCTGATCCCTTTTCCTAACTGGGGTCCAGTTCCCAATAAACTGGTAAGCCTTGCACCTAAATCTAGGCTGTGAATGTAAAGGAAGCTAGTAATCTATTGACTTTAGGATGTCTTGGAATTATTTTGTTTCATAATTGTATTAGAGTTATCTATTGCCACGTAATAAATTACTATAAACATAAGTGCTTACTTTAATGACATTTTCTTTTTTTTAATATACTCATAAAATACGATATTTATTCAGCCACAGAAAGGAATGATGTAGACACATGCTACAACACAGATGAATTTTAAAAACATTATGCTAAGTGAAATAAGACAAACACAAAAGGCCACATATTATATGATTCCACGTACATGTGCATGTAATGTCCATAACTGGCAAATTCACAGAGACAAGACAGTGTTTTTTTTTTCTTTTGAGACAGAGTGTCACTTTGTTGCCCTCACTGGAGTGTCATGGCAACACAACACTTGGCTATTTTTAGAGAGAAGGTCTCACTCTTGCTAAGGCTGGTCTTGAACCTGTGAGCTTAGGCAATCCACCCACCTCGGCCTCCCAGAGTGCTAGGATTACAGGCATGAGCCACTGCTAAAGTAGATTAAATTTCCAGAGGTGGGGAAAAGGGGGAGATGGGTGACAACTAATGGATATGAGGCTTTTTTTGGGAAGTGATGAAAACATTTTAGAATTATACAGTGGAGATGGTGGTGCAACTTGTGGCTATCCAAAAATCCTCCGAATGATACAGTCTATAAGGGCAAATTGTATCTCAACAAGAAGGAGAACATACTATTGCTAAAAGCCACTTTCTCTATGCCAATACTTAATATATAGTGTTTTAACTAATTGACACAGGACTAGATATGATCTTTGCCACCTTCTTTTTCAGTCACCTTTCCATAAGTTTTTTCCATAAGTTTTCATATTTAACACTTAATCCATATTTAAATTTCCCTTTTTGTTTAAAAAATGTTCTTCACAGCTAATTTTCCCTCATGGACATCCAATC